GTAACTATGGGTCTTTTTTTACTCTTTTACAAAGAAATCAGGACAAATAAGTGCTAAATAAGAGTATTTATACTGAAAATTAGTGATTGAAGTCAATTGAAGTGTTGTTTTTTTTAATTTATCGAGAATTTCAAAAATACCCTAAAAAGTCACTTTGGCCATTTTCGCAGCCGGGCCTTCAATTGTAGTGTATTAAACATCTTAGTTATATCTTTATGCATCACGTACATGTTAACTTTAGGATACTCGTGGTTAGTGGTTAGAATGTTATCATGTATAGGAAACCAGGCTATGTACACACCCTATGTAAAGGCACATATACATTGGCATGTATCTAATTCATTCATTGTATTAGAGTGTAAGTGATTCAATAAATGTTTCAACTAAAGAACGTTGTAATCACTAAAGAACTTTGCAATACGTTAAAACAATGAAAAAAAAGAACTTGAAACTGGAGACTCAAGGTTGACAGACATCACCAGTCAGGGTTTGGTGTATTCTTACTGGTTTATTAATCTCCTTTCCCTACTGCATTCCTCCCTCCTTAAACAACCACTATGCCAAATAACAGAATATACATCAAAATGACTGACTGCTAAATGAACAAACAAATAGATCATTGTTTGTACCTTGCAAGAGTAAAGTCTTGATGATATAATTATTTTGCCATGGTCCAATCTCTTTAGTCTTCAGTGATTCATCAACCAATAGATTCATTGCATTCTAAAATAACAAACACACTGGATCAAATTGCCTGTTAACATTAAAACCATCAAATTACAGTTGTTTCTGTTTGTGTTGTAACAAACTGATTAAATATGGACAAACAACACAGTGATGCTCTTCCAAAAAAATATAATGAAAACTAACAATGGAGGTTCTATAATAACGGAGCAATCAAAAAGCAGGTTTCGAATGGTTCATGACAACTGTTTTGTTTTGTAGTTGACATTACCTCAAAGTCCTTGTGGTCAAGAAACCAGAAAGCCTTGATGAGCTTGGTCAGGTTTTCAGGCATGCTAAAGGCTTTTGCAAACTGATCAGCAATATTGCGATCATTGAGATCATTGTTGATACTACATACATCCAGTAAAAAATAGAAAATCTACATGATTGTTAAAGAACTACATAATGTCCAATCTTTCTTTTGTCTTTCAACATGTTTCAGAGTACAGAAAAGAAATATAAATCAACAATGTGTCCTTTTAAGCTTGCATTTAGTAAGGATACAACACTATGCTTCATGTCAGGGGTAACCTTGTCCAGTAGATACAAGCCACACAAGGACTGTTCATTAATCAAAAACAATAATTAAAATAAAAAGTGTACATGGGATACTACAGTGTACATGAGATACTACACGGTGTACATGGGATACTACAGTGTACATGAGATACTACAYGGTGTACATGGGATACTACAGTGTACATGGGATACTACAGTGTACATTGGATACTACAATGTACATGGGATACATCTATGAATAGTTTACAACATAAGCGGCCGTGTTGTATGGGAATTACAACCTCGAGCCGCAGGCGAGTTGTATGGGAATTACAATCTCAAKCCGCAGGYGAGAGATCGTAATKCCAATACAACACRGACGCGAATGTTGTAAATGACTTATGAAACTCCAACACTAATTAACATGAATTACGGAGAGATAAATGACGAAAAATGACAAATAAGGTAACTGCTGAGTTAAGTTGCTATTAAGCATGCGCAATTTACTGCAACACAGAACATTTTGAATAATTATGCATCCAACATGGAAAGCAAGCATTCTGTTGCATAAGCGAGTTTTGTTATCTGTCTTCTACCGGTTCAAAACCTAGTGAAGGCCTATGATGCGATACTAAAACTGAGACCTTTGCTAGTGTTGGGTTGTCTCAATGGTGATGACTGTGTTGTAAATCTGATACAACACTAGTGTTGTATCAGATTTCCAAGGTTAATCACCTGATTAAATGGGCAGCCCTTATTGGAGTAATAGCTCATGCATTATTAATAAGTTTTATAACATATTACAAATACTCACATGTAAACTTGAAGGTGGATATTGTTCTTTACCAACAGCAGACAGCCATAAACCATCAAACTGCGAAATAATCTTGTCAATCATTAAACCAATAGCAATTACATCACTGAAAATAAAAGACAATAGGTTTTATAGCAAGTCAATGTGACAATATATTTGTTATAATATAATTATAGTAGCAAATGCATGTGCATAGGATATGTCATGTCATAAAATTCCATTCTCATACCCAGATCCTACTCTGTCGGCCTCTAGCGGCCTGTCGTAGGCTCTGGGAYACCCTGTAATTTCAARCCACATGATTGGCTAATTCAAATAACAAATGGACAAGATTGTAAGCGCGATCAAAAATTCAAATATTTGTAATTTAATATATCACTAGTACGTTTTTTTCGTACATATTCTTGCCTATTCTGGATCCTCTGAACGAGTTGAAATAAAAACCTGTGTCATCGTCCTTTGCGACATCGACTTTTGGTACGAAAACTGACTTGAATCAAGGTAAAAATAGGTCTCAAGCAGACGGGTCTCAAGAAAAATGATATTTCTCACTGAAGCACCCATCAGCCAGAATTAACGACAGCCGTCAACTCACTTGACCTCATGGACTTATTTCACCTGTTTTTAAGCAAAATCAAAGCTCAAGAATTGCATTAATTCTCAATGACTTTATGAAGACAGGAGTCGACAAAGTAAGGATATTTGAAGTAGAAGAAAATTCAAAATTTCCAGAACACTTGTAATGGTTGTTTTAGYGGCACAGGAAACCTAGATTATATATAATACGGTATTTACCGGCAATTAACCGGAAAAACCATTCCGAGAGAGTATGGAGAGAGAGCTTAGAGCATAAACCAGAAGCAAGATTTCTTGCTTCCGGTTTATAGGGTGTCCCAGAGCCTACGGCAGTAGGGTCTGGGTACGAGAATGATAAAATTCAACAAAAGTGTAGGCAATTTTTAAACACAACAATTCGATTTTCAAGGGKTTTTTTTTAATCTTGTTTGAGGATCTTCACATTCATGGTAATTTTCTAAAATACCAAAAAAACTACTATCAGAAAAGAATCTTAAAAACGCATATTCTCCGTTTGCAGGTTACATCACAGGGGGAGGAACGTTAACAAAGGACTTCTCATTAGTATCTATTGTTCATTATTCCAACATGGCCGCCATTCTTTTATCATTTGCATCTCATGGGAATGGYTGAAAACGATCAATAGACTGAAACAGATCAAAGAAATTAWTCCACTTTTTGCTAATCCCAGTTTTGCTATTTTCAAGTGCTTTGCAAGTGCCATGGAAAACAAGTTTCCAATTCCCAGGCTATTCAAGGATAAAAAGGAATACCACAAATGCTCATACAATCATTATTGGTTCTTATGAATTTTCACAATTACTGGATATTTCATTACRTGTTAATATGTCAAAGTTTATAAACAAATTATAAAAAATGAAATATTTAGTAGTCATAAGAAATACTTGGTAGAGCTTAACAAAACAGAAGAGCCTCATTTTATCAAACAGTGACCTCACAGTCATTACTATTTGGAAGAGGAAATATCACATTTTACATTTTGATATTTGACAATAATTGTGAGGCCATCTAAAGTCAAGTTAAAACGGTTTCATGCATTGGTAGTCATTAAAGAAGTCAATTATAAACAYRTTATACCCTCCTAACGCATGCATCTCTGACTGTYGTTTGTTATAGTAGTTCTTGAATGATGCATTTGAGTAGACAAACTCTCTGTATGTAAGAAAACACCATTGATTGAATAAGAAAAACAACATCTGAATAAAAACAAAAAACACAGACAGTGATCAAGTTAGATTTAAATTAGCTATCTGCATTCGTTTGTTAGATATTTTGGTGTCAGACATCTAACACATCTTTATTTATCTGCAGTTATTGATAGCAGCAAGCATTAAGTGAGCCAAACATTGTTCTTCATSTTGTTAAACACCAGTGCAGGAGTTGAGAAAWCAACCATGATTGTCTGTTTACAAAAACTGACAGTCTTATGTGACTTTCTTTTTGATACTAAACAACTTAACATTAGTAACTGCTCTCTTTTCAATGATTTAGTAAGTCTCAATGGAGTAACAAATTGTTTTGATTTCCCGACTGTTGTGGACTTTAAGCAACATATTTTTAATGCTGTTCACAACAACRTGGAAATTGTTGACTCTAGTAATAACTGGTCACAATTGTTATCACTTGAGGCATACTATATTAAAAATACCAAAGCTACTATAAACGAGGGACTTAAAGCCTCCCGGGAATTAGAATTGTTCTAGCTCGTGTATATAAGCTCCATGACCACTTGTAACTTTTAGCATGATTATGATTTTGYAATAAAATCGAAATATATCTGTCATTACGATCTTCTGTACATAATTCAAAAGTTGAATTTGCACAGTATGCTTTCCATCCTTGGATTATCACTCGTCTTACTATAACATTAGTAACATAAGTAATTTAATTAGTACATTAGAAAGTAATTACCGTTGTGCAAAAGAAATGTCTTCATCAACTGTGAAGAGAACAGATAACAAGTTACAACTGAGGAAAAAGTTCTCATCAACAACATCAACTCATACTAATTAACTGATTATTTTAAAGGGATATGACATTGAGGTTGATTGAGACAGATATATTCAGCTTCTGTTTATTTTTGCTTTTTACTTATCTAGAATCATAAGCATGCTCTTCTAGCAATTGGATTTTGGGATTCCTTCACAAACATTTTGCTTATTTTGCTACAACATTGTGGAAAGAGTGAAGGAAGGGGACTAAAGGTCAAAATAAAAGTTTCAAGTCCTGCTCTGTCACTAATCTAACACATGAAGCAAGTTATGCTTGAAGAGAACACATGCAGAGACATTTTATAAACTCCAGAATCAAGTGCATGTGAAGTACAAAAGATGAGTGAGCATGGCAAACCTGGGAAATATTTGTTCTTAAACAGCAAGTGTATGTTCAAACAGAATTCTGCATAGTCCCTGCTGGTTTCCCTTTGAGTGCAAAAAATAATTTGCTTGCAGGATAAACATGTTGCTCAATAGGGAATGTTTACTAACCTGATTGTTCAGGGAGGATACCATATCTCAGTAACCATAGTATCAACTTTAAGTACTAATAAAACAATCACTCATGAATAATTCACTGTATGCCATATCATAAACTGCATAACATTTCTACCAATGCATTACTAATCATAGAAAACAAACTCACCATTGACAAAATTGATACCACATTGTATTTTTCTGTGAGATCTTTTAAGCCTGAAACAAGAGGAAAAGAAAAATGAGATCCAAATCTAAAAAATTTTCCTTTGAGTTTGAAACAATATAATTTTAGGCCCCGGTTACAYGAGCAATTTTTAGCTTGCACAGACGACATGATTTTCTCAAAATCACCAGAGCATGATGTGGCTACACAAGCGACAATGCTGGATCGATAAATTCAATGTTAAGCTTTCATCGTACCCGAAAAATTGCATTAAAAAACACTTGTGTAACTGCAACTTTAAAGGGCTACTTGGACAAAAATTGTGAAACATTAGAAAAGACTTGGAAATCAAATAGACCTCTCCATATGAGTCTAATAATCMTGAAGCAACAGATTTCAAGAAGAAATTGATACAAATCCTTAATAATTTGGGCAAAAAAAGTTGGAGTAAATGATGTCATTTTCTCAATTCTATTATTTTTCCATCCTTTAAATCAAAATTCCTCTGATAATAAATAATTCCAAAAACAAATATTTTCCCACAGTTGTTTTTAATAGATATAAATGAGTCATATATTTGTATTGCTTGAAGTTTTGAAATAAGGGCATTTTCAAGCAAGTAGCACTTTAAACACAGAACTCAGACGTTTTAACTCTACCTTGCTGTGAGCTTGATTCAGATTGGTTGAGTAGGGAGTTGAATATTGACTTTAAATATCCCAGCTGTACTGCCATGTCGTCTAGCAATAGTAGCATGTGGTTATCTGGAGTCCCTCCTCCTCCGTCAAACAATGGAACAGCTACCAAAATGACACCATTGTTGTCAAGACAACCATTTACAGTAGCATACATATGCTTGTCTGTTTATTAATTTCTAAGTCTACACTGAACATGGTAGAATGTTTGCCTTGATTATTCACTACTTATCAACAATTACAAGACATGTACTAGAGACAAATATTAGACCAATGCCTTGACTGTACAGACCAAGGGCATAAGCTGATATAATGTTGTAGTTTTAACATTTTTCTTATTTGTTTGATGTTTTATTATTTTAATAATTTAAAAATTAAAAAAAAAAATAGTTTTCAAAATGTCAGTTTTTYATATTGACCAGAGACTTCACTATTGGATCTTACCCACTTAGTTAACTAAACAACCAAGAAGAGTACACTGTCACAGTAACTGACAGGCTTGCATGACAAAGAAAAGCTCTCTAATTGTGTAATTAGCAGGACTGCTGTGTTATGTTTAACTTACAAAGTTGRTCAAGTTGTTCCTTTAAGTACACRACTTTTGTCCATGACCAATCCAGTATCAGCCTCAGACTAAAACCAGAAGGACCAACTAATTGAAAACATTTCTTGGTTAGTCTCATATACATTGTATTTTTAAACGAATATTGGAGAATAATTACCAAGCATTAATGAGGAAGCAGCGATGATGTAGGAAGGAGGAAGATAGAAAAAATGAGAAGGAAAAAAAGAGGAATAGGAGGAAAATAGTGCTTTTAGATTAGTATAAGATTGTGTCCAATATATGAAAATCCACCAGTCTTACTGTTTATCTTTTTTGACAAAAAATGTAATGCAAATCAACGTATAGAAAGTAAAAAGGGGGAAAAAGAGAAAAGAACGAATAAAGGTACAATAGAAAAGAAGGGCATTGAAAAATAAGCCCAGAATGGAATGGAGAAAAATAGAAAAGGATGGGACCAGTACATTATTAAAAACAAAAAGTGAAAGAAAGAAAGAGTTGTAAAAACTGAAAGATTTTTAACATTCTATACTTACTTTGTGCACCCAATTTATCAATACAAGATGTTATAAATACCACCAGGCCATGCTCTAGACATACAGACAGGATACCCTCAAGATGAAACTATAAAATTGATAATAAATGGTTAGAAAGTACGGTAAATGTCAATGCTTGATTGTTGATTGCTTATTACTTGATTGAGTTATTGATCATGGTATACTGTTTGAATGGTTTGTTGCTGTTGTTCTCTTGTTTGGTTGGTAAATAGTTTTTAACTCGGAGATTGAGATAGCAATCGTAGAGTTATTGGGAGGGAACAAGCTGTCACWCGCTCGCTCGATCACTTTCGTGTAAACTTGAGCCTGCGATGTTTTTGTCAGCAGTTATTCATTTAACCATTAATTTGACTTGTTAATTTTGAATTATTCATCTCCACGGTCTACCTGTTTCTTTTTTTTCCAAAGAGAAATAAATTCATKTACTCGATGTGGCTCGAACTCCCGATCTCTAGATCATCATACATCGCCTTATGTTCCAGCCCCTTAACCGATTGTGCCACGGTGACACTTTGATGATACTTGGCGTGTTTTAGTACTTTTATAGGGAGCACCGCTGTTCGAGTCCAGCTGGAGACAAAACATTTTTTTTCCTTTTTTTCTTTTTGATGTTTTGGAGATTCTCTTTTCTTTTCTCCTTTTTCTAATAATAACAAACATGTTTCTCCATAAAGTTTTGTTTTTAAGAAATTCTTTTAATTTTTGCGATCGGTAAATAAAATAAGGTTCACCAAGATGGGTTTCCTGTGTTATATGCTGTGGATTCAATCGATATTTGCCAAAAAAAAGTGACCTATCGCACTACGTTAAAAACCTGGATTCAAGAGGAGAAAAAATTGTAAAAATTATACTGTTTGGCGTAGAATTGTACCAATAGCATAAGTTTTGACTGGGTTTTCGCTTCGAGTACCTGTCAACATGGCGTCTCTGCTAAAATGTAGCTTTCACGGCCTTATAAATAAACTTCAAGCAAATGGACGGTTTCTATTCCGCTTTAGACTTAAAGGTAAGATAATAATGTACAAAGCTTAGTAATGACATACTTAAATCTTAAGTTTATCATATGAATTACAAATCAAACTTTTTAGACTGTGTCTACCTGTCCGTGAGTATTCATTGTTTTAAAATAATTAGCTTACGTACACTGTACCAAGACTAAATCATTAATTTCATCGCTAAACCCAACTAAACCTTAACCTAACCTAGAGCTAACCAAGGACTTTTGTTCAGTAATTCTGTATTTTTTTTCGCAAACGGACATTTTGACTTCCACTATTTACACGGCAGCCGGGCATGTAAGTAGACACAGACACTTTGAACTTTATGTCGCCTTTGTTAAGCTTAATTTACATGTACATGTAACTTAAGCTGAAGCTTTTCCTTTTATAAATTTCGATGTCTCTCTGAACTAATAAGTTTATATTTTTATCAATAAACCTTAATCCGCTTAACAGTGATTGGAAGAAAAGCACTGGAATAATTCTGCAAAACTGCAAATCAAGAGCATAAAGAATAATCAAAAGAACAAGAATGTGGATTTCATACTTCAACAAAGGAGCTCAAAACAAAGTTATGATATACCAATTCACTTGTTCTTTCTATACATGAAGGCATTAGCTACTCAAATTTTTCACTAATAACTTATCTTGTTAGTTAATACTATTTTGTTAATCCAATTTAAATGTTAAATTTCATTTTTCCCAATATTGTTCTGATCTTATTTTTATGATTTTTTTATAATCACCTATTACATGTTTTTGTAAATAAATAACTTATCTAATGTGTTAATAAAAATAATGCTCAAAATACAGCTGACCATCTTGCAAGAGCAGCTCTCACAATCTCCGAGTTATGTTGCCATTGGCAGCTTGATTAAGTATGTTAGATGTGATTGGTTGGAATGTTTRATTGTTTGTTGACTGGKTGCTTACTGTAGATRGAGAAATACATCAACAACGCTATTTCTCACATTCTTATCCTGTGATTTTGACATGTCAAAGTTTCTTGGTAGTAAACCAGCTGCCCAACACATATTGAAGTAGCTGTGTGCTTCCATTAAACTAGAAACTCCTTGCTGCCTCAAACTTGCTAAGATCTGGAAAACATTTGCAATTCTTCATTGAAATTGCAATCATYATCATTCAAAATAATAGAGTAATTATTCAATTCATCATTCAATTTAAGTAGCATGTAACATCATTTCAATGATAGGTACTTAGCAACATACCCTGATGAAAAACCCTGGCTGGATCCCACTAGGATCCTGACATGGTGCTAACCAGGATATTGTCTCAGGATCCTGTATAAAATCCTATTAAAGATCCTACAGGATCTTGTTAAGGATCCTATATTTCCTTTCCTCACACATAAGAATGTGATTCTATGTAGGATCTTATTCCTATGCAGGATCCTGCTCAGGATCCTATTTTGGATCCAGTTCCTAAATAAGGCCCTGGCTACAGGATCTTACAGGATCCTGTCTACGATTTGCACCAGGGATACATGTAACACAATCTTATAGCTTTGCTCGTTACAACTGTAACTTTAACTTACCTGTCTTTGCATTCCCAGGAACTGTGAGTGAATTATTCCTGTCTCCATTATACAACATGCATCTACAAATGCAAACATTAAAAATGAATGAAAATACAAAAAGTAAACTTAATTAACATAAACATAGTAGCAGTAAACATATAGATTATAACTACAACTGTGAAAAAAATTTAAAATCAACTATTTCATAAAATAAATAATTTCTTCTTCGGATTAAAATGCAGCATTACCTTTAAATGTTGCATAGTGATGATCAAATTACAATTACAAAAAAGCAAGCAAATCTTTTTTTGAGATCATAAAAATGATTTTCCATTCCATTTGACTTTTAWAATCAATTTGATAATCATGAGCTCATTCTGCATAGATCTCCAAACCTACCAAATTTGAGAGAAGCTGGCCAGAAATGCTGTTCTAAGGCTGGCTCAACGCTATTTGTAAACCTTGTCACATCATTGCTGTTGATGTAAACGTCCTACAATGTATAGAAAAGGAAGTCAGATATTGTATCAAGCTAAAATATAGAGACATGGCTACTTCTTAAATTATGATCTTTTSAGGTGTCTGACGACCTTAATAAAGATTTAATCCACGCTTACACCAATTTTCCTGCGATTTTCCAAAATTTCTAGACTTCTCTAATCCTTTTCCACACTTTCCKAGAGCTCATGTACTAAGGATGCTAAACAAGAAATGCTGCTTGAATTGCAAAATTACTTACAATAATCCCATCAGGACTTGCAGACTCTAGAATATCAGCCAATGAGAAGAAAGCAAAGAAAGGGCAGGTTGAGTCCTTACTTCCAAACATGGCATCCCTGGAAATAACAAGAAAAAAACATCAAACGACACTGACTTTATTAAATACAATGTGTTTTATAAGCTTCATTCATAAATGAAGCATTACCATAATAGGTTTTTAAATTTGAGATCGAAACTATGAGATCTGCAAAATCCAATCTGAGACTTTGCAATGMACAAAATTAAGTGAAAAATGATACTCAGAGACTTTTTTTAAAGTGCAACTGAACTCAATTTTTTTCAAATTCTAGGATTCTAGGATCGTAAATAAAATTATAGTAACTTGCCGCAAAAAGATTTTCAATTGGATGAATTCCCGATATTTATTGTTATTTTGAATTTCCCGCCAGTTTGTAAAAATGCACTSTCTTTGAGTCTTTCAAAGTAAATGGTGGAGATTCTAAGGTATTCWTTCCTGTATAAATCCTTTGAATTATAAGCCAAGTTTCAACAACTCTTAGTTGAAATATCAGTTGATGACCTTTGTTTCCTTAGTAGACATCATACTAGGCTCACCTCAGGGCTCTATGATATTTCACAGCCATTTCAGAATTATCAAAAATTTCATAACTTTCATGTTTAAACGTTTACAAAAAACAGCTTTTAACCGACTTCCCTGAAGGCCCCCCAAAAAAGTTTATTTTTCAATGGTGKTTTTCCTCATATTTGGAAAAATTGAGTTCAGTTGTACTTTACAGGACGGTGCCATTCACCACTACTTAGTGTGTTAGTCAAGATTAAGGTCCACAATATAACATACACTGTAATCTTTCTCTAACTGGACAAAGAGCTTATTGTTGACTGTACTACTACTCTATTAAATTACAATACTCTATACTCACAGTAGACAACATTTCAATTTTTATGGACTGTACCATGTAAAAAATAATAAACATAATAAACATTGTGCACTAATACCTAAGAGATGGCTGCATCTGTGAGTGGTACCATCTATTGATGTCAAATATTCCTAGATGACATGTTGGGCTGGACAAAGGTTCATGGGAAGGAGCTTCCCATATACACACCATTMGAGTTAAGTCCCTAGTAGAGCCTGAAAATTTACAGTTGATCAGATCCCAGTAAATTGTGTGCCAGCTTGAACACTTGCAGCGACAGAAATATTAGACTCAAACAACTTAGTAACATGATGACTACATSTAAAACTGAGGTAATGAAAGTTTGAAAAAGTGAAAAAACATCTTCATGATAGCTAAATTCCATGCTAAATTTATCAATGAATCTTCCACCAAACTATTGAGACTCTTGCTTGTGTTAATTGCATGCCTGATCACTAAATAAAACAAACTATTTTGAGGTGCTGTGAACCTATGATACTAACCTTCATCAACTTTAGAGACATCATGGCTGACACTCTCCTTTTCTGATATGACAAAAGTAATTACAAAAATAGATCATTGCAAATGATTGTATTCCTAACATATAGTTACCTAAAGTATAACAGCAAATGACTCTGCTACCAACGGATGTTGCATCAGCAAGATGATGTGCATCTGCAGTTAGTTGGTGTTCAAAACGKCGACCACATCCACTGAGGTCCTACAAAAATTAAATAATCATGTTTCGCTTCATATTCAATGGAAAATTTTACACATGTAGAGAATCAATAGCGCTGCACGCCCATGACGTCAGCACTTTTGACTCCTGGAGCGTTTTAKGACAAACACACAGCTTCTCATATAAGAAATATGTCTGGTGACTCGCAGATCTAGACTTCAAACRTCGGAAAAGCRACTATTTTAACAGAAAATCAACAATATTTCTGTCTCRAAGTTTGAGTAAGGCTCAAAGAATTGTGTTAACACACAATTTAAGTATTGGTTTAAATATAGAKGCTTAAATTTACGCAATAAACGGGTAGACCAATATCACCATATTACTTATTGCAGAACTCAGCTCTATTTAGTATGTGAATGACTAWAAATCTAATTAAATCCTTTAGTCCTCCTCTATGTTAGGGATTTACAGGTCTTTTACAGAATAGAGGCTTACAAGGAACTTAATTTTATTCATAAAGCATA